AGCACATCATATGTTTGGTACTGAATTCTGCCAGCATATGAAGTCCAGCCTGGAGCCATGAAATGATCTCCTACACGGACTCCGTTGATTTCTGCTTCATAAACGCCTTGTGATGTGATGTATAAGCGTGCTTTGACCAAGGGATTGCCGGCGCAAGGGTCAATGTGAAATTGCTTGCGAAAAAGCTGCTCGCAGTCAGGTCCCTTGGTGAGACCAGCCCACGGCGCCGCAATCCGTTCACCCACCCAGTCAGAGCGTTCCAAAAGGCCAATCTCGAGCTCTACAGGGTCGCTCCAGGGAGTGCTTTCCCCTTGATCATCCCAGGCCCGAATGCTGACAGAAACTCGCTGACGTGACTGTAGCGAGTCGTCGAAAGGCCACGGGACTAATTGCGAGATTGTCGAGTGACGAGTGGCCAATGAAGAGTGCAAAACTTGCAATCGGGAGTCATATACAGTTAACTTGACTTCGTAACCACGTTGACTGAAGACAGAGTGCTGTTCTTTGATCTTCCAGCTGAGGCGGGGCGCTGTTTCCTGGACGCCCAGGGTGTTGGGCGCCCGGTAATGCTCGAACTGAACTTCGGCTACAGACATGGTGTTGGCAGACGACGGGGGAAAGGTGATTGGTATTCCTCAAGCGTTTTCGAGTTGCGTTGACTGTCAAGCAAGCGTGGCAATACCGAACTATGGGTGGGATATTTCAACGATGGGGACATTGTACACCGGGGGAATTACCGCTGGGATAATTCCTCCGTGTCTAGCACTGGAGGACCACTTGCTCACCGTAGCATGTCAGTGGCTTGTAAAGGCAATATAGTCGGAAATATCAACTCATGGCGCCACCATGGTGCAGCAGTGGTCGCCCATTAATCTCGCTTTCTCGGTTGAATTGGCCACGAAAGGGTTGTAATCTCATAGCAGCAATTCGAGTGGCATCTAATGCAGTTCAGTGAAACGATCCCTGCTGGCAGCGATGGCGGATGACTAGGTTCACTACCCCACGCCTACACTTGATAGCGATCGATGGTACAGGCATTGGTGCAGTTGCATCACAGGTGGCTTGAGTCGGGACTCGTTTAAATCTTGGCGGTGTATTGGTCCTTCTTCCTACTATCTAGCAGCGTCCGTTGACCATATGCCAGTCGGCCTACCCCCCAACGAACCGATTACCCCAACTACATCACTCCAACGGTATTGCCCGAATCCTTGTCCATCCCACTCGTCCCACTCGTCCCACTCGTCCCACTCGTCTCACTCGTCTCACTCGTCCCACGTTCTACGTACTACGTAAAGTTGGCGGGCTGTCTATAAACTTTGCCGTCGATAGTAGTTGTAAGCTCACCCGTCGCATTGAATCCGGATTGGCCTATGTTGATTGTAAGATGGAACCCATCATGCGAGGTCTTCTTGGTGGCTTGTGTAGCCCCAGTTTGGACAAGGTCGGAATACCAGTCCAAGTGGTTATTCCAAGGGTTTCCCCCCGGGATAGATCTTGTCACATTCTCGTAGCCATTGATAATGTGCGTTCCATCATCGGAATAGTCCATGTAGTTGACGGCGACGGTATCAATTTGGCCCGCCTCATCAGGCAGCAGGGACACATTAGCGCTGCCGGACTTCTTGCCAGCGAGCGTGTATTCGCCAGGCGACAAGTATGACTTGGGTGGGATCTCGGTTCCTGGTTGGAACTGAACCGCCCAGGGAATCATGTCAGGCACCTTGAAGACAGGCGGCGGCGTCGTTGGCTCGCGGCTGGTCAGCTTTGCAAGCATAACCCTGTATTCACGCCCACCCTGAGCAGTTGACTGGGGGCATGGCAACGGGTTGACACCGCCGCAAGCTGGAGCGACTACGAGAGTCTGCCAAAAAACGATTTTGGTGCCATCTTTGCTAAACGCAGGATCGGCTCGACCGTTCCAGTTTGGGTCATTAACGCTGCCGTTGCTGCCATCACCCTTTGCGTTAATTTGCTGGCCATAGTATGGATCCCGGTCACCGTATCCATCAAGCAGAATAGGCTGGAAGAATCGTCGCGCGCCGTTGTTGCGGGTAGTAGACGCAGCAGCAATAGTCAAAACGTCAATCAGCGGTGGAATACCACGCATACCAGCCATCCACATCTGTCGGTCTGAACCACGCGTATCCATAAGGACCATCCACTTATTATCATAAGAGAAAGTCATTGGGTCAACATATTCAGGATGGCTAGATAGGCGACGTGTTTTGCCAGTTTCAAGATGGGTAGCAAAAACATCGATATTATTCGCTTCGACCGTGGCGCCAATGTAAGTGACTTCATCGCCAGTTCCACTGAATCCGCGGAGCTCGCCAACAGTAATAGCGTCATTATCGATCTTCAGTTCTGTACCATCGCTATAAAGACGCCCTTTACTCTTCGGGTCCACCAGAGCATTAACGTTGACTATATCGTAACGGGGTACACGTGGTTCGCCAGTCGTTGGGTTCTCACTGAAACTTAGGCGTCCAAGATAAGCATATTGGCCACCAACATTTGTAAAAGAACTGAATCCGATATGCTGGTCGTCCGGGTGAAGTCGTAACTCACGGGGAGCTCCTCCTGGCCCGGAGCCGTCAGCAGTGACTGTCCAGTGAATAGGATAGATGTGCGTGTTCTCGGGAGTGCATTCATCACTAGCCAGCTGCTCGCCGCCGCAATCGAGAACGTTGTGACCCCAGAGAGCCTTGTCGCCGCTGCGGAAGACATGTGGGTAGTCTCGCTGTGGATCGAGTGACTGAGCGTTTTCTGCTGGGACACCGCAGCTAAGGCACTTCCACGTATCGCCATTGGAAAAGGTAGTGCCGTCGGCTTTGATCAGAATGACCTGCTCGCCAGAGTAGATACTAGCTGGGTCCGGAGCTGCTGGTGCACCAGTGAAGATGACATTAACAATAACATTTTGACCATCTGGCGTAAAGTCACCAGCTTGGAATTCCTCTGGCTTAGTTGTTTTCGAGATGCATCCAGTTCCGTTAGGGTTGACCTCTTTGCTGCAAGCACCTATGTCGTTGCTAGGAGACACAGGCGGCAGTGGGAGTTCAATGACCTCAATTGGCTCAGGCGACGGAGCAACAGGGATGGGCTGGCTGGATGCAGCACAGAGGGTTCCTGGAACAAGAACCGCGAAGGCGAAAAGTGTCGATAAAGTGTGCATCTTTAAGTGCAAGGGGCTCCTTGCCTTGGAATGGGGGGAAGTGGGTTGGTTTGAAGGCTGCAATTCTGGTCTCAACGGCGGCTGGTAACTGTCTACTTATAGGTGAAAGAGTGACTCTATTTGCTGAGGTTGACGATGATCGAGCGATGCCGAAGGCCCTCACCCATGTTGGAGATTACATATTTCCGCCGCGGGGGAAATCGTACAGGTTCACGAGACCAGAATAGTAGTAGTTTGCCTCAACTGCACTACAAAACAAGGACCGGAAAATACAATGTGGCCGAGAACCAAGGCCGCTACTGCATAAGAACTCGTGATATTTGGTTCGCATCCGGTAGGTAATTTAACGCAGAAGCGCGGGGAACACCCTCCAGGGGGAAACCATCCCCGTGGGGAAACTGGCGACCAACTTCCGGGGGAGTAGCTCGGATGAAAGAATCCATGGAGGTTTGGACGCGATTCCTACAACTCTTGCACGGACTTTTCACATTTCGAAGCAGAAGAACAGGCTAGGTAACTGATCTACGGGATATCATACGTAATATATCTACTTTAACACTCAGAGTCCTACTTGTGATGCACTTAGTGATAGTAGCTGTGAGCTCGTCCTCGCTCTCATTAGCTCTCCTCTTGTCATAATCCCAAATAGAGAGCGAACCAACCATGGATCAATATTCACGTAGTGAGTGGAGAGTATTTGCTACTCCGCCATAATGGAGATTTGCACGGCCCGAGCCCAAGGGGCTCTTCAGAAGCTTCAGGACGTTCGGAATGATCTTAGGCCGGCTCAGCTACCCCTCAGCCCTACTATACATCAATACAAAACCGGATCGTCCTTACATAGCCCGAGCTGCGAGTTCGTGACATGTCGGGAGCTCGGATCGGCTTCGGATTCGCAGCTCGGTTAGCTCGCTTAGCCAGCGCACAAATGCGAGGTCCAAGCGACTGTACTAATAAATTTGGTGTATTCCACATTAGAGTCTTGATTTATCACCTGTTTGACATCCAGGTACCACAGTAGCCGCCGAAACGAGTGTCTAGATCTCCAATGTGTATACTCCTCGAGCTGTAATGTAAAGCCTTGCATATTATCTGGGAATCGCAGTCTTGCACTCCTTGTCGTCGCTGGCGCCTCCTAATTCCCACGCCGCATCCTTGCTTTGGTGGCCTCTTCGAAGCCTGTAGTGAAGTTATTCCCTCACAAACCCAATCGCTTCGATCTATCAAACCTACCTCAAGGTGTGCCGAATTGCGCTAATCGTGTACAGTTCGTAACAAAAGTCCGCTCTGTCTCGGGCATAGCGCTCTCGCGTATAATCAGGTCTACATAAGTACATAGCCCCCAAAGCAGGCTTCGCAGGACAACTGAATTCGGGCTCAAATCACTAATTCGCCACTAGACTAAGCAGTGAGTGGGGCAGAAAATGGGTTCTCCGAGAATTCGGTGTAATTTGTGAGGCCTGATTTACTCCGTTCACGTGCCCAGCATCATCTCAATACGATGAGGTTGAGAACAGAGGTGATGCTATGCTATCTCCTGGAGTCTCGGAGTTCTCGGCCAGGCTCGCGGCTCCCACCGAGCCCATTTGTTGGCAACCGAACCTCGCTGACGCTGATGAGACCACAGCTAATTTTGAACTGCGCATGCTTCTAGCTGGGTAAACCCATCACCTGAGTGACTGCACTGCATCTTCTTTTTATGCCGGTGCATTCCAATCCGTCGGCATAGGCTGCTGGTCTCGTTAGATAGGCCTCGCCCATCCATCTGGGACCGTGGACATGATAGCTGAAGCCGTAGTCTCCCCCTCGAACGACGGTAGTCCAGTAGATATCTTTTAATTGACTGCAACTGAGCTTTATTATCCTCCAGCATGGTGTTGAGCCATCATCCTTACCCAGTGGTGTACTGAGAATGTCGGACAATGCTCAACATTTGAGCCAAGGATGATCAAACCTGAATCGACATACATTCCACGCTATCGGGATTATTGATGCTAATCATCCTTGTTCGCTACCAACGCTCGCGTGTGATCGTCCTCTTGGCGGCCAGTTCCCTCGCCGCCGAACGTCCAATAACTTCATCGAGTTCCTCTCTACTGCCAGACTTACCTGCAGCTGTCGCAGGCTCTCTTTACTAATGCTTTCCACTAGAACCTGCGGCATCAGGAGGAGACCCGTCGTCGGCTAACACTTGTTATTCACAATGCAAACCATAGGGCTGTCCGCGGATCTACATGGGTATATTCACGGTTTGTTTGCAATGAATTTTGACTGTGGTGGGGTAGACGTAGCACTCACAAGATGAAAGGTCAAAGGGACACTGCAAGTAGATTGATACGGCTTGAAAATTAAACTAAAGACAAGTTTTGACACAAGTATTACTGGCCATTGTAACCATTCCCTTCCGCCATAGTCATTCCTCCTAAAGCAGCAAGTGGGATAAAATCAATGATTTAGTCCAAGGGCTACCAAGCTACTGAGCGAACAGACCCTGCCATTCGGCGGACTGAGCTTAAGCCTGTTCCTGGGTAAGACGCTGAGTAGCCGTCTTGGTGGACTTGAACTTCCAGGCCTTGGTTTTGCTCTCGAAGAGCTCGTCCAGCTCGGCAGCGCTGCGTCTGTGTCATTTTGTCAGCATATTGCTCCATCAAACACAGAAGAATAGTCAACGTACCCCTTAGTCTCAGGAAACATGAGCCACATGACCACAGTACCAATAAGACCAAGGCCTGCATAGAACCAACCGGTCTTTAGGCTCCAGTTCCACTGGTTTGAATTGACCATGTAAGGAACTAGGACATCCATGATAATGCCAACAACACAGCTAGACCCCATAGCGAAACCCGCAGTATAAGGTCGAAGACGCTGTGACGAGATTTCACCCAGAGAGGCAGAACTGGCCGCACCGACTGCAACCATGCCGACATCTATCGGTACGTCGTTAGAAGATGCAAACAGTAAAGGCTAGACCAAGTACTTACTCCATAAGCATGCGGAAGCAACGAAGACATAAGTCCGGGCACTATTATCCGGAACCACGCCGAGGATACCAACGACAATGCAGCAGACCCAAGATAATGTAGTTGCACCGCAGGCCATCAGTCGACGGCCGATAGTGTCAGTAGCCGAGATCGCAACCAGTACAGTAGCAATCTTGATGGATGTAGTAATGCACTTGATAGTAAAGGGATCTCCTACACCGGCCTGCTGAAAGAAGTAAGTAGCAAAGGTACCAAAAAGCTTGAGACCAATGAACTGCTGAGCTAGGGAGGGCCACAGGGAAATGAAAGTGCGACGACCATCGGTTCCAGTAAAAATAGCCCACCAGTGTTGTCTGCGTTGCTCCTCAGCCACTTGCTTCTCATGGTCGAGTAATAGAACAAGGCGCCGATAGTGACGGTCCACATCGTAGTTGGGGATGTCCCAATGTAGCGTCCGGATGCACTTCTTCGCTTGCTCTTCACGGCCCCTTGCGACGCACCATTGAGGAGTCTCCGGAATCACAAGAAAAATGATGGCCATGACACCAATTTGGCCCCATTGCGTATAGACTGGGGTAAGCCAATTCATAGGCGTCTTGACATCAATCTCCCTCAAGGCGATCTGGGCAAAGAAGGAACCAACAGTCCACCAGAACTGGTAGAGCATACAAAGCGCACCGCGGATACGGTCAGGGGAGATCTCGGCAATATAAGTAGGAAGGGTAGCTTGCAAGCTTCCAACACCAATACCAGCGAGCAACTTGCCAATAAGCCAGACCTGCCAGGTCCTGGAGAGGCTTTCCGCGAGCACACTGGCAACGAGAACAATCCAGATCCAGTACATGGCAGCCTTACGGCCAAACCGGTTCAAGACAAACGAGATGGAGACGGTACCAATGACCTGACCGACGGACATGATAGAGCTCCAGCCACTCAGGATAGGCGAAGTGTGATACTTCTTGCCCTTGGCATCGACGGCTGTGGCGAACTGCTCAATGAAACCCTTGTTGACAATGATACTGGCGTTGATGCTGGGCGGCTTGTTAGAAACTGTTTCAACACAGCGCGCCTGAGAAGAGGCTCTTACCCAATCTGGTAACCATCGTTTCCTCCGCTGAAGGCTGCTGCAAAGCAGCAAGCAGCGCAGATCTTGAACATCTTGGCAGTTTCCCACAGAGATAGGTGCTCGTAGCCAGTCAGGGCCTGACCCTTGGTGGCAGCATCTATGGCAGCATCGGTGTGCTTCAGGTCGCCGTCAGCGTCTGCATCTTGCTCTACATGATAAGAAGAGACATCTCGCTTCCCATTCTTGGCCGCGGTGTCGTTGATGGCAGCCATGGTCAGTAGACAGCAACGTACGCGGATGATGGATGACTGAGATGAAAGGGCTGGTTGTTGCAGATAGTGAGTGATGGGTAGAGGGGAGTGCCTAGAACACACAGCCTCTACTTATAGAGTCCAATTCGGCGAGTGCTACCCCGAATTGCGATATGAACTTGCAGCCGTAATATGACAGCCAGGTCGAAACGAGGTGTTGAGCAATGGAGTTGGCTCATCTGGGCTGGGGAAAAGCTGCCTCCATCCGGGGCTGGATCCGGGATCCGGGGCTGACAACCTGGAGATAACGCCCACGTGCCGATTTTCAAAATTTTCTGCCACCAAGGCGGAGCCAAACACCCGATTTTACCCCAGGAAAGCATCGAATTCGCAATTCTACTGGCTGTCTGGTGTAAGGGGAGCCAAAAGGGGGAACGACGGGCCTGCCCTCCTCCACAGCAACTCCCCTAACATCGAGATTGGTCCTTTGACCAGAGGTTGCCCACCTCGGTGGAATTGGCCTGGGGTTTAGCAACGAGAATTCCCCCGGCGGCGGTTTTTGGCCGTCATAAATTCCCCCGCTCCCCATCACGTCAATCCGGGGAACTCCAAAAGCATCCTCAATCACCAACGTCCCGGTCACTGATTGGCCAAAACGCTCCAGGAGCATGACTCGCCAGCATTCCAGCCATCACCGTCGACGTGACAAATTCTGCCGCCCGGCAATGCTTGCTCGTATGATTTTCCAGTCAGAAGACAAGGACCAAAGGGGCCGAGATTGAGCGCAACCTTGATTCAGTCTACGCAGCAGCAACTACGCAAACCAGGGACCAACCAATCGATCAATGAGATGACAATCCCAGCCAAACCACTTCTCCACACTCGTTCAGCCACTCTCCGAATCATCGGTCCAACAGGTGGCTAAATTCAGCTGTACGAGCAGTATATCTCGTCAGAACCCACCTGAGAGCATAGTTAGCGCATAACTGTACCTCTCAGGATTGGCCCCGGCTTTAAAATTGGCTGTAAACAATGAGGATGTGCCGGGGAGAAGGCCGGTAGCGGAAATGATGCAAGGTTCCAGCAGTACCCTATGACTGGCAGCCCACAATATAAGTCTTGTGCCCGCAGCATCGAGCAAAGAAACAACTGAGTTCTGGGAAACCATTCATCCGTGTGCAAAGCAGACGCCGAAGATGTTGCGACCCCAAGCAAACGCTACTCGCGAGCTCCTATCGCTCGATGGCGTTTGGAACTTTCAACTGGTAGCCTCGGCAGATGTTGAATCTGAGGCGCCCTGGGAAAACGTCATCCCATCAAGACTACAAGTGCCTGTCCCGGCCAGCTACAATGATATCTTCTCAGATGACGGCATCAAGGACCATGTCGGATGGGTGACGTACCAGCGTTTCGTGACAGTCCCTCGTGGATGGGCTGGCACTCGAATCTTTATCCGTCTCGATGCCGCTACACACCAGGGGCGGGTTTACATCAACGACACCTTTGTCACTGAGCACGTTGGAGGATACACTCCCTTCGAGGCCAATATAACTCATCTTGTTTCCGCCGGTGAGAAGGTCCGGCTCACAATCTTGGTCAATAACGAGCTTACCTGGGACACTATACCGCCTGGCAGAATCGAGGTTTTGGAAAACGGCAAACGCAAGCAGAACTACCAGCATGATTTCTTTAACTACGCTGGCCTGGCTCGTTCCGTCTGGCTATATTCAACACCCGAGCTGGCTATCAGTGACGTGGCTGTGACTGCAGACCTAGTCGAAAGCGAAACGGGCATTGTCAACTTCGAGATTGAGTCAAGCCAGCCACTACCTGAGAACAGTTTCAGGGTCTCGTTAGTGAACGAGGATGAAGTAGTAGTAGCACAAGTGACTGGGAAAAAAGGTCAATTGACCATCAAATCCGTGACACCATGGGCACCTGGTGCGGCCTATCTCTATCGACTGCGTGCAGAAATCATTCCCGAAGAGGCTGCGGCCGACATTATCGATGTCTACGAACTTAGTGTTGGAATCCGCTCAATCAAGGTTAAAGGCAACAAGTTTTACATCAACGAAAAGCCTTTCTACTTCACAGGCTTCGGTAAACACGAGGATTCTCCCGTGCGAGGAAGGGGGCATGATGCGGCATTCATGATCCATGATTATCGCCTGATGAAATGGATGGGCGCAAATTCCTTCCGTACCTCTCACTACCCCTATGCGGAGGAGGTACTTGACTATGCCGACCGACATGGTGTGGTCGTCATCGATGAGACAGCTGCGGTTGGTCTTCACTTGGGTATCAATGGCGGTATCTTTGGTGGTAAACAGCCTCCTACCTTCTCCCCCGACACGATCAACGAGAGAACTCGAGAAGCACATGCTCAGAATATCCGAGAGCTTATTGCGCGAGATAAACATCATCCATCGGTTGTCATGTGGTCGCTTACCAACGAACCAGCTGCTAGTGAGGAGGGAGCGCGCCAGTACTTCGAGCCTTTGGTAGCCTTGGCCCGACAACTTGATCCTCATCGACCCATGTGCTACTCGAACATGATCCATTCCAGCCCTGATGCGGATCGCATTGCAGATCTGTTTGATGTGGTAGGTATCAACCGATATTACGGCTGGTATACCCAAACTGGAGACCTTGAGGCTGCAGAGATCATGCTAGAGAAGGAGCTTCGTGGATGGGCAGCTAAATATGGCCAGCCACTCATCATGACTGAATATGGCACAGACACTGTGGCTGGACTGCACGCCGTCGGCGATTTACCGTGGAGCGAGGAGTACCAATGCCGCTTCTTGGAGATGTACCACCGTGTGTTTGACCGTGTCGATAGTGTTGTAGGAGAGCATGTTTGGAATTTTGCAGACTTCCAGTGCCCCCCTAGGATAGTGAGGGTCGACGGGAACAAGAAGGGCGTATTCACGCGGGACCGGAAGCCCAAGGGTGCCGCCCACCTGCTGAGGACACGCTGGACAGGGGAGAAGTCTCAAACCCACGGCGATTGATGCATGAGGCCGTAGATAGCTCTAGTGAATGGCACTTGCCTTGAATGAACAACAACATATAATCTATTTCTGTTCGATACCCATAGGAGTAAGCACTAGAAGATGAATTTAACATTCTGGAGTGAATTGGCGTCCTTGCCGTGGTAAGGGTAGTTGGAGGTATAAAAATGGCCGCATGTTCACTTAATCGTTAAATGGCAACACTCTTCAAGGATCCGGTAATGTTGAGTATGTCTTCGTTTAGCAGTTACCTCATCTCTCACCTACTTGCCCTGGCGGCCACCGTTTAAGACTTAATTACTACTGCCACTCTTAGCCTTTGAATCTGCCTAAACTTGTAGCTAAGGTTTCTTACTAAGTCCGATGCCTATGAACGTGAATCGGGCATTTAATGTAAGTACTATACGCCAGTCCACAGAAAGTCCTCTTCCAAGTTCAACACACTCGACGCCACCTCGTCGTTAGGGTCGGAGCTTCGTGCAATGATTACTCTGAATACACCCTTTTCGGCAATCCACTTCAAATGCTCCTCGTTCCAGTATGAAAGTGCGTACTTATCAAGGGAGAGCTTCGCAGTGACGGAGCTACCCGCTTCGATCCAGACTTTATCGAATGCTTTAAGCTCACGAATGGGGCGATCGTTGGCACACTCCAGATCCTGCACATAAACTTGGACAACTTCCGCTCCAGCAACGCTTCCAGTATTATGCACCGTGACGGAGATGTCAAATGACTTTGAATGCTCTGTGAAGCGGAAAGTCTCGGGAACTTGCAGGTGGCTGTATTCGAATGTAGAGTATGACAGTCCATGGCCGAAGTAAAACAATGGTGGTGTCTTGGTCTTCTCGTAGTAGCGATGGCCAAGGAAGACGCCCTCGCCATACATGACCTCGCGGATACCCTTACCAAAGTTCAGGAAGGCGGGCGTATCTTCGACACGTTTGGGGAATGTGATTGACAGACGGCCGCTGGGGTTGACCTTGCCGAAGAGCACATCCATAACACCGTTGCCTGTTTCCTGTCCACCATACCAAGCTTGCAGCAACGTGTCCGCTTGGTCTGCCCATGGCATGGCAACAGGGCAACCGGATTGGTTGACAATGATCTATAATGCCTTATTAGTCAGGTTCCAAGGTCGTGATAGGATGAGGGCCCTTCTCTTGACTTACTGTTCGAGGGTTAGCTTGAATCACAGCCTCAATGAGATTGTTAATTGACTCGGGTAGATCTAAATCAGAGCGGTCAATCGCCTCACTCTCCCAGTCCGGATTGAGGCCAGCAAATACGATGGGCACATCAACGCTCTTGGCCAACTCGACTGCATCTTGAAGGCCCTTGGCAGCATCAATCTTCTCGCAGCAGCTGACTCTTGCGCCTCCGGCAGCGGCCGCACCGGCCTTTGCCTCGATACCTCCGTTGACAAGAGTGACCGTCATCTGGTATTCAGACCCAGCGGTTACGTCGAAATCAGTGACTACCTCCATACTGCACTGATTGAACATGGGACTTTGCGCAGTCTTGGGAGGATGAGATGTGAACAAGTCGATGACCTCCTTGCCATCGATAAACATTCGACCTCGCCCGAGCACGGCCAGTCCAAATTGCATTGTTGCAGTTTTGGTTGCCTTATATGTCGTTGTGATGCGAAGCCAATATGAGCCTCCCTCAACACACCTGGGGAGACTGTGTGCGAACATCATGAGACCCTGTGTTCCAACTTCTGTGTACAGCGGAGAGTCGGTTCCTGCTGTGGGCTCTTTCGAGTACCATTCAAGAAGGTACCCGGGTTCTTGAGTACCGGGCACTGTAATATCCTGCTGCAACAATGGGGCAAATATGTGACCTCGAAAACTGTTAGAGGGATGAATGAAAGGGGTAATCAAGGCGAGTATAAGGGTGTAGGTTTCCTACCGTATGCACCAACTGCCTCTTTCACGTTGGCTTTGCCTACCACCTCTACAATAGAATCGTAGGGTGTTTTGACGTAGTAAGGGCGAAGCTCAGCAGAACCGCCTCCACAGGCTGTCGGGTAGCGTGCAGCTGGTCCAATGAGGCCGTAGGTGTGGTTAGCGGTTACATCAAGAGGGAGGACTGACTTCTTGTTCTTCAGAAGCACGATGGAGTCTGCGGCAACCTTGCGGCATAGCTGACGCTTGTCGACGGTGTCTCCTTCTTCGACGCTGCCTTTCTGATAGTTCAGAGCTGGGCGAACCTTGTTGATGAGGTTTAAGATATTCCTAACGCGAAGGTCCACCGTAGCCTCACGGACCTTCCTGCAATTGATGGCCCAAGTTGCAAGGCGAGCTCTCCATCTAGAAGGACCGGGCATCTCAAGATCCATCCCCGCATTGATTGCTTCAGAGGTACTATAAGTACCATACCAATCGCTCACAACAAGGCCATCCCAACCCCATTCTTTTCGAAGGACTTCTTCTAGCAACCAAGGATCTTCACTTGCATGAATTCCATTGATTTTATGGTAGGCTGCCATGACAGACCACGGGTTCGAGTCTTTGATGGCAATCTGAAACGGAAGTAGATGCAGTTCCCGCAAGGTTCTCTCGCTGACTCGAATGGCATCCTCCAGCGCCCACTTAGACTGATCGTGGGCTGCGAAGTGTTTGATGGAGGCTGCAACGCCATTTTCTTGAAGGCCGTTAATATAATTCGACGCGAGCAATCCGCTGAGAATTGGGTCTTCCCCGAATGCTTCAAAGCCTCGACCGATGAGCGGAGACCGTTGGAGGCAGACTGTTGGAGCGAGAAGCACATGGGCGTTCCTTTCCTTTGCCTCACGTCCGAGTGCCCTTCCAACGGTCAACATCAAACCCTTGTCAAAGGTTGCTCCCATACCAGAGGCAGCAGGCAGCATCATGCCTCTCGGCTAGAATGGCGTTCCATGTTAGCATCATCTTTGGGATGGATTAGAGAACATACCGCATTGAAAAACCGTGCTCCTCTTACGCCATGAGGTCCGTCTGACAGCTACAGGTATCGTTAGTTCTTGACCAAAACTGACATAGCTCGTCGATTTTATGCACTGTGATTGAGGGGATGCCTAGCCGTTCTATGGGCACTGTTGTATGGTTGTCTTGCCCCGCCAACAGCGAGGTCTTCTCGTTGACCGTGAGCGAGCGTAATGTCGCCGCAACATCAATAGGGTCCTTGAGAATCGAACCCGTCATTATGGATACAAGCCAGTCGATACCAAAGCAATAAGATGCCGACACAAAATTAAACGGATTCTCTATCTGCCAAGTATTTATACTGTGGTTTCTTATATTGTACGGCATCCATTATACCGAGACGGGCTGCGTCTAAGTCTTTACCTAGGGTTACCTTGACATATTGGGATGCTCCATGCAATGTCCACCTTCGGTCTAGTGAACAGGCGGCGAAATGCCTGACGTGACTCTGGGATGTTGCTAATTTCACCGCGGTGAAATTATCTAGACAATGTCTATGGCCCACAGCGGTTTATTTATGGGTGCGGGAAAGGATAACTATCTCATCCGAGGCAATCACAAGGCCTAATTCTCGGTCCCAAATCGCACCAGATGTGCCTAGGGGTCAACTACAGCGTAGTGGCATGACTCACAGACCAGATCAGCACGATGTATTTCGTGGGGTACATGTATACCTGCGCGTTCGGGGGTCGTCTCGCCAGACTCAACTCGTTCCAAGCTTCTGCGACACAATCATAGCACATGATGGCCGACAGCAGCGTGACTATGGCTCCGGATTGGAATAACCTGCAGGTACTCCAGCGCAACCGATTGCCAGCGCGTGCCCACTTTTACAACTTTGAAGATGAGGCCACAGCTCTTACCTTTGATGCTAAGAAGAGCTCACTGCACTGTAGCCTCAACGGCAGGTGGAAATTCCGTCACGACTTATCACCTCTAGAAGCTCCTGAATGGGACGAGGCAAAGCCAGAATCATGGAGCGACATTGTTGTTCCAGGTATGTGGCAGCTTCAGGGATATGGCCGCCCGCACTACACCAATGTTAATTATCCTTTTCCTGTTGATCCGCCTAATGTACCTTTTGAGAACGAAACGGGTTCTTACTTTCGGGAGTTCCTCCTCCCTCAGAGCTGGGACGCCGGCCAGCAAGCTATTCGCCTGCGTTTTGAAGGTGTCGATAGCTCCTATCACGTCTGGATTAACGGAAAACGTGTGGGATATAGCCAGGGAAGTCGCAATGCTGCTGAGTTCAATATTACCGATAAGTTGAACCTCGAAGGCCGCCGTATTAATACTATTGCTGTCCGCGTCTATAAGTTCTGTGACGGAACATATGTTGAAGACCAGGACCAGTGGTGGCTTAGCGGGATTTTTCGAGATGTATACCTGGTGGCTTTTCCACGCCTCGCCGCCATTGAGGACTTCACAATTACTACTCACCTCGATGATGAGTTCACGTCAGCCAAGGTTACCGCTACTGTCCAAACCACCGATGCGGACTCCGCGGATTTCCGCTTTGGCCTAAAGCTCATTTCTCCTGATGGACGAGTGATAGGTCAGGGCGAGGGAAACGACCAGGTCACGATTGATATTGCTCAAGCCGACTTGAAACTGTGGTCGGCAGAGCAGCCTGCGCTCTACAAGGTGCTGCTCAGCTCTGGTTCTCATTCTCAAGTGGTTCCGCAGCGCGTCGGAATTCGCCGCGTTGAGGTGCGAAATGGCAATATCCTTTTCAACGGCCAGCCCATCATCTTTTATGGCGTTAATCGCCACGAACATCACCCAACTATGGGCCGTGCGGTTCCATGCGAAGCCACTCGCCGCGATCTCTTACTGATGAAGCGTTGCAATATCAATGCAATCCGCACTTCACATCAGCCACAGAATCCACATTTTTATGATCTAGCTGATGAGCTTGGCTTCTATATCATTAATGAGGCTGACCTAGAGTGTCATGGCTTTTATAAGCCCGAGCGTGCTATATTGGACGCTAAGAACCTTGGGCTTTCAAGAGTTGAGGCGCGTGAGGCAACATATGTGGAAGCTGGAAAGTGGCTTTCCGGCAACCCTGAGTGGAGGGCTGCCTATCTAGATCGCGCTGAGCAGCTTGTAGAGAGATTCAAGAACTCAACCTCCTCGATCATTTGGTCTATGGGTAATGAGGCATTCTACGGTGAGAATATTGCAGCTATGGCTCAATGGGTCAAGAAGCGGGACCCTACGAGACTGGTCCATTACGAAGCTGACCTCGAAGCGAAGGATACTGATATGTATAGTCGTATGTATTATACTATTGACGAGCTGAAAGAACACATCGCCAATAGGAATGACCGCCCACTGATTCTCTGCGAATATGCCCATGCCATGGGTAACGGGCCAGGCGGTTTAAAAGACTACATTGACGCTTATCGAAGCGAAAAGTCTCTACAGGGCGGGTTCATCTGGCAATGGGCCAGCCACGGTCTGCTGCAAAGGTCTAGCAGTGGACAGCCATTCTATGCTTATGGCAGCGACTTTAGGCAGGCGCTGAATGACAGTGACTTTGTCATGGATGGCATGCTATGGTCTGACCATGAGCGGCCTAGCCCTGGATTAATCGAATACAAGAAGGTTATTGAACCGGTGACGGTGGATAACCTGGACCTCGCGGCCGGAACCGTCTCGATTCGAAACCATCTATTCTTCTCAGACTTAGCCCATCTGGAAGCTTCGGTCAGCGTCACAGTGCAAGACCAGAAGCCGACATCTTCGGTAACCATGGCTTTGCCACCCATTGGGCCATCTTCGAGTGGCGAGGTGGAGATCCCCGAGGAGATTCTGGCTCCCCTCCGAGAGCAGTCCGAAGAGAATAAGTGGCTGAATCTGTCATTTTTTCTCCATTCAGAAGTTTCATGGGCCCCTCGAGGCCATGAGGTCGCCTGGGCTCAAATTAAGGCTCCCGCTTGCCTTACAGTCAGTCCGGCGGTGACTCCAAACATCACCTCAGACGACGAAAGCAGCATCAAGGCAGAGGTCAAAGAAGCTCGTGGGCGGCTCGTTATCTCACGCCCAGGCCACAATGCCAGCATCGTTTTTGACCTCGCTCGCGGCGGATTCCGCTGGGCCGGCGAGGCCGGAGTCACAATTACGCGCGGCCCGGAGCTCAGCATTTACCGTGGCATGACACAGAACGACGTGGGCTTTGGAGGAGACGGTGCTGAATGGAAGCGATGCCTGCTGCAAATAGCACGGTCCTGGGTCACAAAGCACAGTTGGACCTCGAACGACGATGCCATCTCGGTAGTAAGCGAAGTGAGGGTCGGTCCACCATCATTGACCTGGGCGGTCAGAGCTAGGCTCGAATACACCATCTCCCACTCACTTCAAAGTGTATCGGTTCGGGTTACAGGTGATATTGAGAAGCGTAAGGGTTCTTCCCCGTGGCCTACAACAATTCCTCGCATTGGACTCGACATGGCACTACCCAGGTCGTATAATACCGTCAACTGGTTTGGCCGAGGCCCGGGCGAATGCTACCGCGATAAGAAGGAGGCACAGCGTCTTGGACTATACGAATCAAAGGTTGAAGACTTGCATGTTCCATACGAAGTCCCCCAAGAAAACGGTGGGCGCTGCGACGTGGATTGGCTCAAGTTACAGGCCGCGGGTGGTTCTGTTGTCAGCCCTGCGCTTGAGATTCGGATGGCTCAAGGACCGTTTAGCTTCGTAGCCAGACACCACACGACACAAGAGCTGGAAGAGAAGACACACCCTCATCTTTTGCAGGAGTGTGACGATACATTACTCTACGTGGACCATGCCCACCATGGTCTTGGGTCTGGTTCATGCGGACCGCCGCCATTCCCGCATGACCGGCTGTACATGGGCCCCTTTGACTTTACCATGCATCTCCGTCTTGTAGATATCGACTAGCCTAGATAGATGCCGGGTGTTTGAAGACACAAAGGTTTTATACACGTATTTCAACTCAGATCTATTCATTCTTCATGTGGGTTATAGCATGCTGAGCAAGCTGATACCTAAGGTATATATAATCCCTGAAGTCTACATTGTGGACAAGGGTCACTCACGGTGATTGTTACATGTAGTAAGCACCTGTCATCTATCCCACACAATATTCCTAATGGGTTGAATCTATTTGAATTGGCAGTCCCCCTTCTTTAGACATGTTCAAAGCATGTAGCCCTTTGTTCTATTCTCTTTCTCCCCCGTGATTGGAACCTGATATCCTACTCGCTCTGCGGGTTCCATAGCTCGATATTGCAGTCCTCAACGAGAAGCTGTCCGCCAAGTTTGTTAGTGGCAAAGTTGAAAAGTCCAAAACGGAGACCGACGAAGCCAACGATTGACTTGGTCAAGGTATGAGCTGGGCCGAGTTGTGTGAAGGTTAAGCCATCGTAGCTATACTCGAACATGGCTTGTCTTGTCTGCTTTTTAGACTCGTCACAGAACACGGGCCTAAAGTCCGCCTTGGCTCTCAGCCATATCTTATCATGGTCCAACGATGTTTCACTCGTGATGGATCCATTTGCGATCCACTTCCAGTCAAGAGCCGTAGGACAGCCGTTGATCCAGCCCACGGGAATCCTCATCGGGCCTACCCTGGCACCATCGAATATCACTATCCGGGCCGCGTTATCGTCTTTGTGAATGCCGATGTAGGTGCTCTCGTCGCGGAACAGTGAGACACCGGCTCTATCACCATTAATAAGCTTCGAGGTGTCGAGACAAACGGTTATGCTGCTGCCGGGCCCGATAGATCGATGGGTGAGTGTGTTGGTCGCGTAGTGCAGACTTTGCGTGACGGAAGCCGTGTCAAGCGTCAAAATACCATCCTGAAGCCTCCACTTTGAGTTGTCTGGGTTGTGGTTCCACTCCCAGCAGCTGTCCAGCTTAGCTTCGGCAAAGGTGTGTCGTTTGAAGCATGTTCCACAGTATTCTTTGCTGCTTATTTTGGCCGGCTTGGGGTACTGGCCGAGCCATTGACCACGAGCATCAGAAAAATCAGCCACGACCCTTGGCCATTTCGCCTCATCGAACTTGACAGGAGCTAGAACAGGGATTCTACCCGCGGGCCAGGCATCAACAAAGGCCATGTAGTACCAGTCGCCCTGCGGAGTATCAATCAGCGCTCCTTGGTGTGGAGCGCCTGATCCTGGAATCGGAGATCGCATGTTTACGATGACGTCTCGAGCCTCGTAAGGCCCGAACGGACCGTC